TATTTCAATGCAAAAAACACCGTCTTATATTTGGGCCAATACGGTACATTTTTTTTAGCAGAAAGGCAGCCAATGTTAAATTTCCCATTTGAGATCACATTGACATTTCTCTCTGTTTTATTTCTCCAGAGGATGTTGTTGATGATCCCAAAGCACTTCCCTACCACGTTAAGCAGAGTCTGCCCTCTCTGCAGTTCAACATGTGCCTCTCAGCGACTGAAGAGCTCCCACGTCAAAAGAGGATGAGACTGCTGGCTTAAAGGACACACAAGACTCGTGCTTTTCATCAGGTCATTTTCAATGTCTACAATTGAAAGCACACCCTTTTTGAACAACTGAAACAAAAACGAGTTTTTTTTCTTTTTTTTTGATGTTGGCAAGTATCGTTGGTTCAAATCGATACTGATCGTTTGATCAATATATATGCTCCACAAACAAACAAAAAAAGAATGTCAAAAATGTTCTCAAAAGAGCAATTTTTTTCTTTCTTAAAGCCAAGGATTGAATTTATGTAATCTTACTTTGTCTCATATAGGTCTGTCAGATATGTGAATTTCCTTTCAATATGGCTGTAATTTCTATTTTTGATACAATTCAAAGTTCATTCATTCTTGTTTTGTTCGTAGTAATAAGACCAAAGATGGCATCGTATTCAAGTGTCATTTTTATTTTATTTTTGTGGTGTGTATGTTGTGTGATAACCAGGCCACCACTCACTAATTCCTTACACCGAAGTAAGCTTTATTTACTTTCTGAAAAAAAATGTATACAAGATAATTAGCACCACAATCTTCAATGGTTACCAACATACTTGTGATCTCAATGGATCAAATTCAACAGTAAATTGCAAAGTACAGTAGTTGAATTGCTGCCTGCCTGTCTTTTACTGTTTATATCTGTCTCAGAAGTGCTACAGATCCTCAGATAAAAACTTTTTTTTTTTACAAACTTTATTCAATAAATACCAACCAAAACCCACGGCGTTGTATACTCATTTGTGGCATGAAAAAGTAATTCAAAAGTCATTTGCCCCTCCTTTGTGATTTTATTTTTCTTTATTTTTTTGGGGGGTGGTAATGCAAATATATCATACTTTTACATCATGCCAATTTTAATATTGCAGAGACTGCCCAAGTAAATTTAAAATGCAGTTCCTAAAATACAATTGACATTGTGGAGGGCAGGGGTGGGGGGGTGAAAGAGTAATTGATTTTACTGATTGCCACCCTGTTCAGCAACAGATAAAATGACGTAACTCTAGGATTTTTCGACTTTGCAGAAATGGTTTTTGCATCAACTGTGTGTGTGTGTGTGTGTGTGTGTGTGTGTGTGTGTGTGTGTGTGTGTGTGTGTGTGTGTGGTCATGTACCGTATTTTCCGCACTATGTGGCACACCTTAAAGCAGTGGTCCTCAACTAGAAATGCTGTCGGTCCACTTTTTATTTATTTATTTATTTTTAATAAGACCAAGGTCCGGTCCCATGCACGGCGGTCATGGGGAGCAGGGCTATATGCCCATTT